AAAGAGGAAGTACTAAATTTTATTACATAGAAAAAGCACCAATTTTTATAAAGAAAAAAACACCAAATTTTAGAAGAAAGAATACCAAACTTTATAAAAAAAAAATTTTATACAGAAGAAACACCAAATTTTAAAAAAGAAAAACACAAAAATTTATATAGAAAAACCGCCAAATTGTGTAAAGAAAGAATACCAGATTTTATAAAAGAAAAATACTAAATTTTGTTATAAAGAAAAAGCATCAATTTGTATAAAGGAAAAATACCAAATTTTGTAAAGAAAAGATACTAAATTTTATCATAAAGAAAAAGCACCAATGCTTATAAGAGAGAACCCCCAAATTTTATAAAGAAAGAATACCAATGTTCGTAAAAAAGAAACACTGAACTTTATAAAGAGCAAACACCAACTTTCATAAACAAAAGATACGAAATTTTAGAACAACTCTTGAATATAAGATGTGTGGCGCGCGTACAATGTTGCCACATCAGAATCTCGCGACAGTTACGGTTTCAGCAGTTTCTGAAATCTGACGAAATTTTAACAAAATTATTTGGAAACGCGACGCGACAATTTTTCGTTGTCGTGGCTGCGAATGTTTAATCCGTAATCCAACTAATCCTCTCCACCGGCATTAATAAATTTAGCTGTTCGGTATTCATCATAACCTAGAACCGGCGGAGCTTATCGTTCTGTTCGCCGGCGGACCATCCTCTCATTTATTCCTGTAAACAGATTTTTCCGTGGCCGGGGCGGGCTGAATGGCTACGGCGAAAACTAAATCCCCGTTGAAGATCCATTATGCGTATCATCGCAAGAGCCATTAAGCTTTCATCCGTGTTACTTGACTTCCATTACCGCTATTATCGGCGTTATCAAGCAAATCTGGGCTTCGTAAATCAGGTTTTCGCCCGGTTCCAGCTCCTCCTGGGGCCACCGAGAATGGAGGAAACGCCGGAAAGAGGATACTTTCATTGGGCAGATTGGCTGGTGTTCGGGGTGATGCTCGCCGTGTCTGCCGCTGCTGGATTATGGCATTACAAGAGAGCGCAGAAGTCGAGCACGGAAGATTATCTTCTCGGAGGAAACAGCCTCGGCCTTTTCCCGGTGTCCGCTTCCCTCATCGCAAGGTATTCTACCGGCTGGTCATTTTCAAACCGATCAGCACACCTGGTCTATTTTGCGATTAGGGTTGCCATCTGCCGAATCGCGAACACTTTTGCGGCTGGAATCTGGACGATTTTTACTACTTTTTAATCTTGATATATCGGGAACGGTTTTGGTGAATTGTAAACAATATCCAATATCAAGAAAGAAAAGTAAAATATACAATAATAAATATAAAGTTATATGTATAGTAAAATATATAATAATAAATATACAATTATATAGTAAAATATATAATAATAAATACACAGTTATATATAGTAAAATATATAATAATAAATATACAGTTATACATAGTAAAATATACAGTGTCCCAAAATTATGGTTCTTCCAGAGAGAGGTCTCCGGAATTATGGTTCCTAAGGTCATTTGAAGAAGCTTTCTTCTTAGCGAAAATGCAATCAGCAGCTTTGTTTACGAGTTATTAACGAAAAACACTGACCAATGAGAGCCATCAGCTGGCGCCAGGCGGCCGAAGGGAAGTGGGCTTCGTCCGCTCGTTGGCTCGGCCGTCTCGCGCCAACCGAGCTCGCCTCTCATTGGTCACTGTAGTTTGCTAATAACTCATAAACAAAGCCACGGATTGCATTTTCGCTGAGGAAAAAGTTACTCTAAATGATCTCAGGAATCCCCCATTTCCCAGAAGTAAAATAATTTTAGGACACCTTGATATAAACCCGGATCCGTAATGATGGCAACCCTGCTCGCAATTGGACTGCTGGTTTTCGCGCAGAATCGAAATGTTTCAGCCTCGATTGCAAAAAATAGAATTTACACTCCTCAATTCTATTTATCTCGCTTTAATTCTAATTTTTCTCGAGGACGAGTGATAAACAGGACATCTTACTCCAGAAGCTAAAAAAACATATCATTCGACGCGCACGGTATTTATCTCCATAACTGCCAAAAAGACCACTGTCGTGACTGGAGAAAATAGATCGACACCGCTAGGGGATTCCCCTCGGTCCGAGAGCCGCGGAACCAGTCGAGCGTTAAACATGCTCGACGGCCGAGCCAACGAGGTGTCGAGTGTCGACGAAACTCACACCAACGCGAGCGAAGCAAAAGAATTATTTGTGATTTCCGATTATTATTTTTCAGTGACATTTTTTCCGTCATTTTCGTAACGTTCTTCTGATGAAAATGACACCAAACACGATATAGATAAGCCAATTATTATGTGTTTATAATTTAATATATTATAGTAAGCTATTACATGTTTATAATGTTATATATTATAGTAAGCAATTATATATTTATAATATTATACATTATAATAAGCTATTATATATCATAGCACAAGCTATAATACATTTATAATATAATAATATAATAATAATGTATAATAATATAATATATAATATATAATATATAATATATAATATATAATATATAATATATAATATATAATATATAATATATAATATATAATATATAATATATAATATATAATATATAATATATAATATATAATATATAATATATAATATATAATATATAATATATAATATATAATATATAATATATAATATATAATATATAATATATAATATATAATATATAATATATAATATATAATATATAATATATAATATATAATATATAATATATAATATATAATATATAATATATAATATATAATATATAATATATAATATATAATATATAATATATAATATATAATATATAATATATAATATATAATATATAATATATAATATATAATATATAATATATAATATATAATATATAATATATAATATATAATATATAATATATAATATATAATATATAATATATAATATATAATATATAATATATAATATATAATATGTAATATATAATAATAAAAATATATAGTAAGTATATTATTTATAATATTGTATATTATAATAAACTATCATATATTAATAATATTATATGTTACAATAAGCCAATTTTTGGAGCAAATACACTCTTTTGGCTAATGATTGCAGTTTCATATCCGGTGTGACGATCCTCGGCACACCGTCCGAGATCTATAATTTCGGGACGCAATACTGGATCACAATCATTTCCATATTCTTCTGCGGAGTGGTGGTGGCCACTGTCTACGCACCCGTGTTCGTGGAAATGGGACTTAATTCAGTCTACGAGGTACAATCTTGCTCGATTTCTAACCTAGAAACAAAGAGTCATCCAAAAGCATGCCTTTTCCAAAATAAAACACAGATTATTATTATATATTGATATTCCACGAATATTATGTATAATTCAATCTTTCAATAAAACGAAACAACTTATGTTTATTGAAAGTATTTATGATGCATTACAATTATACAGGGTGTTTCATTGAAGCTGTTACAAAGCAATATCTCCGTTATCGTTAACGGTACTAAAAAATGTTAAAGGAACAGATTGTATGGTTCGATGGGTCACATATTGTGGTGGAAATAGTTTTTTTTTAAAGGTCATATTTTTTTAGATTTCAAGGTCATCGATGTATTTTTAAGTAGGATTACATATTTCTAAGATTCTATAATGATAGTCGAGATCAAAACGAATCCAATGACCTGTAATAACATGACCATCACGTGACCTTGAGTACGAATAAATCTTAAAGTTTGGAAATAGATACGAATGCAGCGAGATCAATAATGGAAAATTTATTCGAATAAATGTTCAAAATTATTTCCATTAACTTCTGCACATTTTTTTAATTCGAGTATTTTTATTCAAGTCGCAGCCGATTTCGGCACGACAATTCAAATCGCGGTGAGCAATGCGATGCTCGATCGGCTTTAGGTCACGTGAAGGTCATATTACTATAAGTCATTAGATTCTTCTTGATCTTTATTAATCGCGATACAAGGATAGAAATATGTAATCCCATTTTTAAAAAAAACATTGATGACCTTGAAATCTCGAAAGATATGACCTTTAAAAAAATATTACTTTCACTGCAACATATTTCTCTTCGAACCACATAATCTGTTCCTCTAGCATTTTTGTGCATCGTTAACGATAACGGAGATATTGCTTTGCCTGTACAATGGGGGACAAAATTGAGTGGACACCCTTTGAAACGCACAATAACTTTCTTAAAATTGAACTAAATGACTTGAATTGTTTTTTAGTTGATACAGAGAGTAGTCCACTAAACAATGACTAAAATGCTTTTTTTCTAATTTTGCTACTACTTGAGATGACGAAATAAATAAGAAACTCATGTGTTTTAACTTCCTTATCTTTTTTATTTTGTTCCCCACTATACTCGATGCAGAATATTATTTTGTGAATATCATGTATAATTGAATCTTTTAATGAAACTAAACGGATTATCTCTTTCGACGGGACACAGCCTGTATAAGCATTGTGGCTCCATCTAGTCTAATGCTGACACCTGACGGCAAGGTTGGTACTTAGCGGTCGCGCAATTGGATGACTCTATGCTTTCTCGAGAAGCGATTCGGCTCGAGCAGGAAGCAATGCATCCGCTTTCGTGATGCCATGAAAGTCCGAGCCTCCTTTCGGGGCCGTTTCTAATTCGCCGTCGTCACGATTACTGTTTCAGTATTTAGAGATAAGATTCAATCGAGGCGTAAGGACCCTCATATCGTTGATCTTCGTTATCGATGTGGTAAGCATGAAACGTGTCAACGAACCCTGAACACGGCCTGGCCGGCCGTTATCTCGGTTTCGGGCGGCAGAAAGCCCGCGGCATCGGGAACTTCGCGAAAAGTAATTCATCATTGACTTTAATTTGACGGTAACTCATTTAGAATGAAGTTATGTCACGCCATGTTACGCGACGGAAACACGGAAGTTTAATCGACGCGGCTTATCGGGACGCTCGAAGGAACTTTAAATGACCGATCGCGGTAACTCCTCGCGTGTAAATAATTGTTTTTTAAAAAAAAAGAAGGAAAACAGACGGTGTTTTGATTGTAGGTTGCACGTGATGCTCAAGTTCCAGTTTCGAGCGGTTTATTGATTCGTTGATGTCGGTTATTAAAGAATTAATTCGCGAGTAGGCTGTGGATCATTATACAATATAAATATTTTCTATATCAGTTGTATGAGAGAGAAATAGTAGGGTAATTACTGTACTTTATAATTATTATATGTATATTGGATAGGGCACGCTTCACTGATCTCAATCATCTTGAAATTTTACTGCGAGATACATGCAAAGATATTTCATAGAATTTTCGCTGCATTTTTAAGTTGGAATTCGTTTTAGCTTAGTTATAGGTTAGGCCAGTGTTAGGTCTAGTATATTTAGGTGTAGATCGTCTACTGGATGTTCTACCAAACTTAACACAGACCTGGTCTATACTTATAACGTTCGAGGCATTTCAAAAACAGTCCTTGAAAAATATATACTTGTTAGAAGTATAGGTTAGGTCCAAGTTACCTCTGGGTTACATCTAGGTTAGGTCCACAGTTTTTCACGAATATCTCGGAAACTAAACTAGAACGAAATTTTCTACGAAGGAAATAGTTGTTCAGAATTTCAAGCTGCACAACATATCTAAATTTCATCGATATCGCTTTGATAAATAATCACCATCCGGCAATGTTCTTGGATTGTTCTGTTGTATTCAATGTTCTGTATTCGCGCGATCCATTTTTACCATACATGCAAAAATATTTCATAGATATTTTGCTGCGATTTAGGTTAGTTGTGGGTTAGGTCAGTGTTAGGTCTAATACATTTAGGTGCTAGTCGTCTATTGGATGTTCTACCAAACTTAACACAGACCTGGTCTATACTTATAACGTTCGAGGCATTTCAAAAACAGTCCTTGAAAAATATATACTTGTTAGAAGTATAGGTTAGGTCCAAGTTACCTCTGGGTTACATCTAGGTTAGGTCCACAGTTTTTCACGAATATCTCGGAAACTAAACTAGAACGAAATTTTCTACGAAGGAAATAGTTGTTCAGAATTTCAAGCTGCACAACATATCTAAATTTCATCGATATCGCTTTGATAAATAATCACCATCCGGCAATGTTCTTGGATTGTTCTGTTGTATTCAATGTTCTGTATTCGCGCGATCCATTTTTACCATACATGCAAAAATATTTCATAGATATTTTGCTGCGATTTAGGTTAGTTGTGGGTTAGGTCAGTGTTAGGTCTAATACATTTAGGTGCTAGTCGTCTATTGGATGTTCTACCAAACTTAACACAGACCTGGTCTATACTTATAACGTTCGAGGCATTTCAAAAACAGTCCTTGAAAAATATATACTTGTTAGAAGTATAGGTTAGGTCCAAGTTACCTCTGGGTTACATCTAGGTTAGGTCCACAGTTTCTCACGAATATCTCGGAAACTAAACTAGAACGAAATTTTCTACGAAGGAAATAGTTGTTCAGAATTTCAAGCTGCACAACATATCTAAATTTCATCGATATCGCTTTGATAAATAATCACCATCCGGCAATGTTCTTGGATTGTTCTGTTGTATTCAATGTTCTGTATTCGCGCGATCCATTTTTACCATACATGCAAAAATATTTCATAGATATTTTGCTGCGATTTAGGTTAGTTGTGGGTTAGGTCAGTGTTAGGTCTAATACATTTAGGTGCTAGTCGTCTATTGGATGTTCTACCAAACTTAACACAGACCTGGTCTATACTTATAACGTTCGAGGCATTTCAAAAACAGTCCTTGAAAAATATATACTTGTTAGAAGTATAGGTTAGGTCCAAGTTACCTCTGGGTTACATCTAGGTTAGGTCCACAGTTTCTCACGAATATCTCGGAAACTAAACTAGAACGAAATTTTCTACGAAGGAAATAGTTGTTCAGAATTTCAAGCTGCACAACATATCTAAATTTCATCGATATCGCTTTGATAAATAATCACCATCCGGCAATGTTCTTGGATTGTTCTGTTGTATTCAATGTTCTGTATTCGCGCGATCCATTTTTACCATACATGCAAAAATATTTCATAGATATTTTGCTGCGATTTAGGTTAGTTGTGGGTTAGGTCAGTGTTAGGTCTAATACATTTAGGTGCTAGTCGTCTATTGGATGTTCTACCAAACTTAACACAGACCTGGTCTATACTTATAACGTTCGAGGCATTTCAAAAACAGTCCTTGAAAAATATATACTTGTTAGAAGTATAGGTTAGGTCCAAGTTACCTCTGGGTTACATCTAGGTTAGGTCCACAGTTTTTCACGAATATCTCGGAAACTAAACTAGAACGAACTTTTCTACAAAAGAAATAGTTGTTCAGAATTTCAAGCTGCACAACATATCTAAATTTCATCGAAATCGCTTTGATAAATAATCACCATCCGGCAATGTTCTTGAATTGTTCTGGTGTCTTCGATGTTCTTTATTCGCGAGATCCGTGTTTGCGATAAATCCATAAAATCCGCAGTCTACCGGCAAGGTATTCGGTGAAATTAGTGACTGTACACGCTCGGAACCGAGTCAAAGAAAATGACAGTTTTTCGAGCGTTTGTGTGCTTTGTCCCGACCACGGGCAAATGATCGGTCGGCCGGAACAGTAATAATTCCGTAACAAACCAATTCCAGGTCCTTTACCAATCGATCGTGGTCTATGTTCCTGCGTTGGCGCTAAATCAAGGTATTCCGCGGCCATATTATTCATAGTGGAACATTAACCGGGCACTATTAAAATCTCTCTGATTAATTACAGTGAGCGGCATCGATGTGCATTTGATCGGGATCGTTGTGTGCCTCACGTGTGTGTTCTACACCGTTTTGGTAAGTTTATGGCCCCGAAATTAATTCGACATTTCTGTAATTAATCGACCGGCTACGGTGAAAGGGAACGAACGTTTCGACGTGCCGCTTCTTCGTTCGTTCGCCGCGTTTCGCCGCCCCGAAATCGGAACGTTCTGCTAAATTTGGTTGCTGGTTTCACACAAAAAAATGCGAGAAAAGAAATTGCTGCTAAACGAATCCAAGTCCAAATTTCATTGCTCATTAATAACATATACAAAACCGATAAATAACCTTGTGAAAACTCTTATGCCTCCATTCGGTTCGGATTTCGCGTGCTGCTTTATTTTATGAAAAGTATGTTCGCAAAGGTTCGCAAACAAGTTAATCGAAATTTCGAGTATCAATTGGGCGCTGGAAAAAAATAGGAAATGCACCGTCAGATGGATGATCGACGACCGTGTAGCGATCACTGCGATGATCGGACAACATTCCCTGAGGCGGGGCGTCGCGGACGACGCCGATGACGCCGCGGATTCATTGTCGGCGTTTAAGGAGTTAACAAGACGCAACAACGATGAAATATACGAGCGGCTCGGCGGGACAGGGTTAAGTGAAACCGGCGGGTTAGGTGTGTGCGAGCTAATTTTCGAAAGGGCCCCTCCGGCTCGCGCGAATTCTCCCGGGGATTGCTCGAGTTCCTCGGCTGGGCGCGCGACGTAGGAAACAATTTTCGGTGGACAATGCCGCGAAGAATCTCTCACGCGGACCCGGCTACTGGAAATGTTTATGGACGGAAACTGAGAGCCCGACAATGGCCCGCCGGAAACAATGGCGCGGAGCACGTCGAGTGCTCGTTCCCCGTAGCTGCGGATCACAAAGCCAGCGCCGAAGTGATTAATCGCGTGCTCGCGCGCCTGTAATTATTCAAGCAATTTGTTGCACCACCCCCGAATTAATGAAAATTTATCGCGGCCCGGTGACTCTTTGCAAATTTGTTTATTATCGGGCCCCGCTTGCCACCCTGCTTAACGATCTCGTTGGTCGTTAGCGTGCCTGCAGACGCAGACTCTTTTTAGCGGACCAGCTGCGATACGTGGTTTCCGGAATTTTTCTCCGGGAAACTTTGCTACCGATCCGTTTGAAATTTTCAGGATAGATCGTGGTACCAATGATGTATCAGTAGGAATTATTTGGGATCCCAAAAGCATATGACAATGATTTGATTGCATTTAGAAATTATGCTACCTTCTTAGTACTTTCTCGAGAAGCTCTGAAGAGGAGGCAAACTTTTAGAATTTTTTTTATGGGAAACTACGCTATCAATATTTCTAAAATTTTCAGGGTAGTTTGTGACACTAGTGAACTAACAAGACGAATTTTTTGGGATCTCGAAAATATTTTGTGCCGATTTGAAAAATTTTTGGAAGTTCGTTGCTTTTCTAATACTTTAGGAAAACACCTCGAAGGCTAAGCGATCTTCCAGTATTTTTGGGGGGAAAACTAGGCTATCAATTTTTTTTTCATTTTCACTGTAATTTGTGGTATTAAAAATGTAACAAAATAAATTTGTTGGGATCCCACAGTCAATAACCTGTGCACATTTAGAAATTTTGCTACCTTGTCAGTACTTTATCGAGGAGCTTTGAAGAGGTGGCAATCGTTTAGAATTTTTTGGGAGGAAACTACGCTACCGATTTTTCTAAAATTTTCAGAGTAGTTTGTGACATTAGTTAACTAACAAGACGAATTTTTTGGGATCTCGAAAATATTTTGTACCGATTTGAAAAAAATTTTGAGAAGTTCGTTACTTCTCTAGTACTTTATGAAAGGCTAAGCGATCTTCCAGAATTTTTTTTGGGGGGGGGGGGGAAATTAGACTACCAATTTCTCTAAAATTTTTACAATAATTTGTGGTACTAGGAATGTGTCAAAATAAATTTTTTGGGATCCTAGAAACGTTATCTTTTGCTATTGTTTTGGTACTTTATCAAGGAGTTCCGATGATGACGCAAGCTTTTAGAATTTTTGTTTAAAATTAGGTTTAAAATTGTTTAAAATTGGGCTACCGATTCTTTCGATATTTTCAGGAAAGTTGATGTCACTAGTGAACTAACAATACAAATTTTTTCGTAGTTCAAAAATGTACGGTAAAAGCGTCCTGAAGCTGTTCAAATGGTGGTTCCTGATTTCTTTGGCAAGGCGATGCATTTAGCTGATTGCGGGGATATGTAATCTGATTTAATCGAGCCAATTATGCTTATTAGGGTGGCATCAGGGCAGTGGTGTGGACGGACGCGCTTCAGGTCGGAGTGATGATCGTCGGTGTCCTAACCGTTACCGTATTGGGTACTTATAAACTGGGTGCTGCCGAAATATGGAAGCAGGCNGAAATTAGACTACCAATTTCTCTAAAATTTTTACAATAATTTGTGGTACTAGGAATGTGTCAAAATAAATTTTTTGGGATCCTAGAAACGTTATCTTTTGCTATTGTTTTGGTACTTTATCAAGGAGTTCCGATGATGACGCAAGCTTTTAGAATTTTTGTTTAAAATTAGGTTTAAAATTGTTTAAAATTGGGCTACCGATTCTTTCGATATTTTCAGGAAAGTTGATGTCACTAGTGAACTAACAATACAAATTTTTTCGTAGTTCAAAAATGTACGGTAAAAGCGTCCTGAAGCTGTTCAAATGGTGGTTCCTGATTTCTTTGGCAAGGCGATGCATTTAGCTGATTGCGGGGATATGTAATCTGATTTAATCGAGCCAATTATGCTTATTAGGGTGGCATCAGGGCAGTGGTGTGGACGGACGCGCTTCAGGTCGGAGTGATGATCGTCGGTGTCCTAACCGTTACCGTATTGGGTACTTATAAACTGGGTGCTGCCGAAATATGGAAGCAGGCACTGGCCGCAAACAGAATCGAGTTCCTCAAGTAAGAGCAACATTTCGAACCTCTAATTCCCCAAACAACTTGACGACAAAATTGTCCTATTAAAATTTTCAAAGATTTATTTATTTTGTCCAGTTTTCCGCAAAGTTAGACCATCGATAAAATCGACCAAATTATATTCGGTAGAAGTGCACGAAACCTGTTTTACAACCTCATCGAACAATGTTCACGCTGTCGCGTTCTTTTGAATTCAGTTTCGACCCGTCGCCGTACACGAGGCACACAGTGTGGACAGTGCTGATCGGCTCTTGGCTCTACAGCACCGCTTACATAGCCGTGAATCAAACGATGGTACAGCGGTACAGATCGCTGAAAGATTTGCCAACGTCCAAACTGTAAGTGAGTACGTCGATAAATGTCAGCGTGCCGTAATCGAATCGTTAATTCCGTATCTGATCGATTCAGAGGGGTGAGTCCGCGATACGACAAAGCACGTTAATAAAACCGCACGATGGGAATAATCGGAGTTTCAACGGCCAAAAAGTGCAGTAATTTTTATATTAATTTATCATAAATTATTATACGTATTTACATTAAACAATGGCATCAAGTAATACTTATATTAACTAGCAACATTAATACTGAGATTAATTAATAAAATTCAGCAATACCTTCAAGGTTATGTCAAGGTTATATGACCTTCAAGGTCATTTGAAAGTCACCTTAAAAGTCGAAGATACAGTTAAAAAATAGAGTACGGTTTAAAGAAAATCGATGACCTTGAAATGATCTTCAAAAACTCGTTCCGTTTTTCGCGACCCACGCTGTAGGTTATAAATGTTAATTTTTCACTGATGGTTTGAGTCTATGGATCATAACTTTTCAATGTTTCATTTTATTAAGCAAAACGTTTTGATTTTATTTGATTCGAACACCTGTGCGTTTCGACGAGGTCGATTATTTCATTTTTTTCTAAACGTTTGAGAGCATAATTTCTGGCCAGTGAATCCGAATTTTCTCCCATTGTGCTTCATGCGATTACTAATCATTGATTATCGTTCGGTGATTAGCGTGATTCGTTCGTGGCCAATTATCCATGTGGCGTTGCTCTTCGTGATTTCAGATCATTGGCGATATTCACTATCAGTATTATGCTATTCATATCGCTCTGCTGCTGGTGCGGCCTAGTTCTGATTGCCTGGTGGTCCCCGCCGAAATGCGATCCTAGGGCGGTCGGTTTGATCACCGCTGACGATCAGTTATTGCCGGCTTATGTCATGGAAGTCGCGGGACACTTGCACGGCGTGCCCGGCCTTTTCGTTGCTGCAATTTTTGGCGCTGCCCTTAGGTACGATTCGCGCGAACGCAGCAGTGTAATAATAATGATAAAAATTAATGTACATCTTAACTTTGTAACTGTGGCACCAATAGATAGCTGAGATTCTTCCGGTTAAAATAAGCCCAAACACGACGTAAATCGGACTAGTTTTACAGACTCGATGTAAACAGAAAATTATTTTTGACATTTCGAAAATAACTATGACTCTGATTTAGTCTATAAAACTGGTCCGATTTGTGCCGTGTTTGGACTCATTTTAATCGGAAGTATCTCTACAATCCACTGGTGCTACATTTGGAAAGATATTACAAATATTATGAAATTTGAAAGTTTTATTATTGTTATTATTTGCTTTCGATTATCTGTTCTGTTAACGTTTCATTCATTATTTGCACAAAAAATTATTCTAAATTTACATTGCACACATTGTTGAAGAACGAAAGAATTTTTTAAACAACTCAATATAAATATACAGGGTGGGTCAGTAAAAAGTACCATCTAAACTAATTCAGTGTTTATTGATTGCGTCAAAAAGATTTTCAGTGAATTGTGTAGTATTTTAAGCGATATGTCGAATGAGAATAATTTGATTTTTTGTGTACCATTGTTTTTTTTTGAGATATCGTGATGACCTTGACTCCCCAAATCAAACCAAAGTTATCTTAGATAGCAATTTTTACTGACTTATCCTGCCAAATAAACTTTAGCTTGCCTGCTAACTTATCTTGTGCTTTAAAAATGTCATAGCACTCTGTCAGTGGGTTTCAATTCGACTTCAGTCGTCGTTTTAGAAGATTTTGTGAAAGGTTGTTTCGGTTTGAAACTGAGCAACCGATCTTCCTTCATTTTCGTGAAGATCCTGGTCGTAGTCCTTGGCTTGATAGCAATGGGGTTGCTCTACCTAGTGGAAAAACTAGGCAGCGTTTTAGTGGTAAGTGACTTTTTCAATTTAATGAATTATACGGATTTTTATGGAAAATAAAAATTATCTGCCATGATTGCAAGAACTTGAAATTAAGTAGCAAGCTTTTTTCCTGCAATAATTTTAATAAAATAATATATTGACATTTTTTATTTCTTTTACTCTTTCTAAAATTATAGATTTTAATGTTCCTAGAATAATAAATTTGAGTCTTTCTAAAATTATAAATTTTAGTCTATATGAAATTAATTTGGAATTATTATTTTAATCTTTTCAAAGTTACGAATTTTAATCTTACTAAACTTACAAATTTTAATTTTTCTAAAATTATAAATTTTAATCTCTTTAAATAGCCATTATTCATTTTCGCCATAAGTGCATAAAATCCGCAGTCTGTCAATAAATTAAAATTTTTGATTTCAAGATAGTTAACAAACTGTATTGTTTCAGATAACCGGAAGTCTTGCAGCAATAGCTGCCGGTACTTCGTTCGGGGTATTCACCCTGGGCATCCTTTTCCCATGGACGAACTCTAAGGTGATTTCTCAATTCTATTGTAGTCCTTATTCCAAACATGTTCTACTAAGCGGCAAACACCTATAAAATGTTTTGAGATTTTTTCATTGAGAAATCCTCAAGATGGGACCTATTGACTCTTTTGAACTTTTAAGCTCTTTTGTACCTTTAGATCCTTTGGACCTTTGGGGGTCTTTTGAACATTTAGTCTCTTTGGAGCTTTTAGACTTTCTTGAATTTTTTTGGCTCTTTTAGGCTTTTAGATTCTTTTAGACACTTTGAGACTTTAGATTCTTTTAGATTCTCTGAGACTTTAGACTCTTCTAGATTCTTTAGGACTTTTAGATTCTTTTAGATTTGTAGACTCTTGAAGATTTGTAGTCTTTCTAGACTCTTTTATTCACTTTTCATACTTTTAGACTTTTTTTTAGACATGTAGACTATTCTAAACTTTTACACTTTTACACTATTTCAAACTTTTGTACCTTTACACTGTTTTAGATTTATAGACTTTTTTAGACATTAGACAGTTTTAGATTTTTTTAGACTTTATACTTTTTCAGACATTAGGCAGTTTTAGATTTTTTTAGATTTTTTTAGACTTTATACTTTTTGAGACTTTAGACTCTCTTAGACTCTTAAATTCTTTCAGAATTTTATATTCTGTTGTTACAGTCTTTAAGACTTTTACACTATTTTAGAGTTTTAGATTCTTTTAGATTTTTAGACCGCTCGTGAAGTTGTGGACTCTTATAGATCCTTTTGTACCTTTAGACTCTTTTACACTTTTTTAAACTTTTAGACTCTTCTAATTCAGAATGTTCAGATTTTGCAAATAATCTCCGCACTGTTGTCTTATCGGACCACCGTTCCCATTCAATTATGCACGACGTCCAGCGCGGTACAAGTAGATGCTTCGAGAAGCGAGCGTGACGGACGAACGAACGAATAAATGAATAAACTTTAATGAGCCCCTTTTTATTAATCAGGGCGCATTCATGGGCGCCATTGCAGGATTCGCGGTCGCCGGTTGGGCGAGTTTCGGCGCAAACTGGTCCATCGGTGCTGGCCAACTGGTACCTAAGAAACTTCCAGTGCCCTTCTCCCATTGCCCAGCCAATATCTCCGAAAGTTTTCTGATGCAGTTCGAGCATCCGGAGTAAGTGAATCTTAGTTCCAACTTTAATCATTACGTCTCTCATAATCAATTTAATCTCAACTGACTATTACGAGATCAAGGTTTCGCTTACAATTTACTAGTCCTATCGATTCCGTTTCAGCGAGGACGGGGTGTTTCCGCTTTACCGATTGTCTTATCATTGGTTCACTGGCCTGGGAACGATCATAGTGATCGTCGTTGGAAACTTCATCAGCTGGTGGACGGGACCTATGGATCCTTCTAAAATTGACAAGAGATTATTGTCGCCTGTTATACACTCGTGAGTTAATTATAAGCTGACGCTATACCTGAGTTATCATTGTGCCTAAGTTAATACTACGCCTAAGATAACAGTAAACCTAATTTAACACTAAATTTAATTTAACACTACACCTGAGAGTTAATACTAATAACACTAAACCTGAGTCAATACTATACCTCTAAATTAACATTAAACCTAAGAATACACTGAAAGTAAATTAACACTAAGCCTGAGTTAATACTGCACCCACCTTAACACTACACTTAAGTTAACACTAATCTTAAGATGAACATTAAACCTGAGTCAATACTAAATTTAAATGACCACGAAACCTAACTTAACACTACACTTAAGTTAACACTAATCTTAAGATGAACATGAAACCTGAGTCAACACTAAATTGAAATGACCACGAAACCTAACTTAACACTACACCTGAGTCAAAACCAAACCTAAGTTAACGCTAAGCCTAACTTAACACTAAACCTGTCACAGTCAAAGTGATTGATTCTTGATTTTACAATTCTACAAACTGTTCTACAACTATTTCATTGCAAACTCTTCAATAAATTACATTATTGCAACGAATTTGATAATAAACTTCTACGTGAGTTCGATCTCGCCACTTTTACGCGGCATTGCATATCAGTCACTGTTGCTGTGTTGGTAGGTCGAGTGTTCGAACAAGAGTAGATTCGTTTACAAAATATATTTCAGATTGCTGCCAAAGCCAAAGCTTCCTGCCGTTAACGTTGAAAACGTAACGGTGCCGACAGATTTCCAGGCGACAGCGAGTCTGTTGCTAGCCGACTTGAAGAAGAAACGTGTAAGTGTTCTGGCGAAGTTCCACACAGTAGAACCTCAGTTATTCAAAGTGACCCGATGAAGGAAGTTCGGATAATAGAACAATTATATCAACGCAAAGCTAGATCAAGTCGGTGAAGACCTTTGTAATACGTAGTATTGCGGATTTTATGCATTCATGATGAAAGTGTTGAAATATCATATTGTGAACACATAAGGAGAATTTAGTGATACGGTTGCGGTATTTGTTGTTTATTATAACAATTTATTTTCATCGAATTTCTGTTCCTTGCAATCGTCTTGGACAATTTTCATTTTGCATGAAGAACATTTATGGAAAAATTGGGTAGTTGCAATTTTAAATAGTGTAAAAATTGCAAACATTTTAAGACGTTCATGTATTATCTTTAATCTGCTGCTTAATTTGCTGCTTGCTTTCTATTCTCTGCAGTCCGTGCAGAGAATATTATAATTATTTTGTAATTATAGTATATAATATATATATAGTATACTATATATATAATATATATATTATACTAGTATATATAGTATATAATTATAGTATATTATAATTATTTTATAATTATTTTGCATAAAAATCCACAGTCTAATAATAATAGATTATTCGATTATTTCTAATATAGAAAAATATACAAATAAATAAACTTAAATATCACTAAAAATGTAGAAGTTGCTTTTAGTCTATAGTTATTCAGTAGTACACTTAGATCGAGCTTTATTTAGATGAGAATCGTGTCCAGATGACAAAATATTGAGACATCGGATAATCGAGGTTCTACCCTAAACCCAATAAAATGCAAATTAACTACATAGCCACATTATTTACAGAGAAGTCAGAACTTCCCGAATGGAATCACCGCGTAGCCAATGCCCTTCGAAATTCGCCATAAGCTTCGATACAATGGTGCTGGTCCATTTCATCCTCGTTGGATTACACGATCACTTCAACATTCGCAACCTCCGCAGACTTCAAAGCCGATTAATCGAAACTTCACCTGACGGTGCTCCGGCTGCAGACTTCGCAGAAAGGCGTATCAGTAGATAAATAGAAAGCCGTCTTTCGTTCGCGAAGAGCTTGAACGGATGTGGAATATCAGTACAGTGTTGGTGCACACGCGCATTACGTACGTCCTACGTTTGTCAGTTTGCTACATCCTTAATGACTATCGAGCAGACCATGACTCTACCTAGACAGAGATTCGCGTTCTTACCAGAACGATTTATTGTTATACATTTTAGGAGAAATAAATTTTGTATCGAATTTCAGCCGTGGCTTTAATGTTTATTATTAGCGGCTGCGAATTTTCAAATGAGCGAATTTTCAAATACAGAACAGTAGAATTTAAGGATAAATGAATAAATGAATTTTCTCATAATACAGGATGGGTCGCGGAAAGAGTTTTTGAATAGTTAACATGTTTTCTTAAGGATATTTCAAGGTTATCGACACTTTTTAATATGGTACTATGTATTTTTAATATTAATGTGCGATAGAAATTTTGGTAAGGCGAGCTCAAAAACCTATTTAGAGACTCAGATCTAATACAGACCTAGTCGAGACCTAATCCAGACCTAATCCAGACTTAATCCAGACCTAACATCTAATGTCCGTGGTCTCAAATATTTGATCAGATTTTTCTTTTTATGAAATGACCAAAATCAATACTAAAATGGCAAAGATAAAAAAAGCCACTAAAGTAACTGATTAATAGACTGCGGATCTTTATGCAAAATAAAAATTAATTGCATTGGCTTACAAGGGCATACAAGTACTTAATAAACAATTATTTACATTTTGAATAAGTTTCACGTGTTGAACGCAATACAATAGCATCTTTAAATTGTTTAAACGTTTTCACGGTTTTGAATTTCATCTATTCATTTTTGTCATAAATGCATAAAATCCGCAGTCTACTTATCGCAGACTAAAATGTCTATAATTCTATAAATATTTAATCGACGGTTCGGCTTTAATTGGCATTGTATTAAAATGTCTTGTTGATTCCTGCTCCATAGATATAATTGTCCATGTTCTATCGCTTTATACGCTAAATTACGCTATTTTATTTGGAGTCTATTATGATCNGTCATAAATGCATAAAATCCGCAGTCTACTAATCACTTTATTTCAATTATACAGAATGTTTAGGGAACGATTGTTCAGCACTGAACATGCCAATCAGACTTGTCAAGACTGAAAACTGACTTCACAAGTTACCATATTGTCATTAAAGAGACAAAAAGACTTGTAAGAGGTGTTAGGCCAAGAAAGCTTGAAGAACTATGGAGAAGAGCCCAGTATGTGTCACTTGGAGCTCACAGATCCAGACTTTCCATGACTGAAAACTCACTCTACAAATAGTCACAGTGTCACTAAAGAAACAAAGAACCTTCTAAAACTTGCCATAGGCCAAGAAAGCTTGATGAATTACAGAGAAGAGCCTAGGTATTACCAAGACCACCTAACCATCTACAGCAGGGGTGTCAAACTCAAAAGCTAACTTGGGCCAAATAAACAATGCTTAACTTTAGGTGGGCCGCAAAAAAAAATCAATGTTCATAGAAACAAATATTTTTATTTTGACTAGTACATTGTAATAAATATATATAAAGTTAAATTATTGTTTACGTCCTGATACTTGACGTCAAAAATGTTCATCTCGGGCCGCGAGTTTGACA